GTTTATAAAAACTGCTTTTCCCCAAAATGATTGTAACATATTTGCATTCCTACCATCCCATATATGAGACTTTTAGTTGCTTTATATTAGCATTTGGGTTTATTAATATTTTAATTTTTAATATATTTTAATGGTGTGTATTGAATAACTTCTGACTAAACCCAAAAGAAACTAAAAGCCACTTCTAAATTGTTTTTCTTTTTATAATGAACATTCTCATTTTTGTTATAAAATGGCAATTAAAATCTTTTTAACAAAGTACAATGAGGCCTTGACTTACGAGTTTAATTTGTTCCGTGATGGAGCTCGTAACTCAAATTACTCGTATGTCAAATCAAAAAGTGAACTAGTGAGACACGTGATGCTGGGCTGATGTTGTGGCGTTCACTGTGACGTCCACTGCACCAACTAGCGGTGGGGTATCTGAAGCTGCCTCGTAACCCGAATTTTAGCTCGCAACTCAAAGCAAAAAATCGGCCGAGAGACAGCTCGTATCTCAAAAAACTCGTTAGTCGGGACACTCGTAAGTCAAGGCCCCACTGTAATATTCAAACACTATTAAAATTTTGAATGAAAAAACAGCAATCCCTTTTCCTACTGTTACCCTAACTTTTTCCTCAGAGGAAGTCATCCTCAACTTTTAGTTGTTTTTCTTATTTGCTACCTTACAGTTTTTACTGCTGTTTCTTGATTTATCCATTTCTGACATGATATGTTAACTTCTCAAGGTAGCATATGAGAACATAACTCTCCCTTTCCTCCTCTAATCCACCTCCAATTGCCACATCCCCTGCCAACACAATATCATATTGTGGATAAAATGGGTGTCATTCTTTCATTATTATGCCCATGGAAATACTGTTCAATCCTGAGAAAAAGAGAAGCTGTAATCATTCCTCCTTTCTTATACAAGTCTTTATTTTCATGACATCAATAAAATTACTGCACTTCTCCCTTTGTCTAGCTTGCTGTGTTCGTTTTTTTAATTATTTTTATACGTTCCAACATCTCTTCCACATGCTCATGAATAATATTTTTCATATGCTCAAAGAGATCAGTTATTGTTCTTTTCTGCAGACCTCCATGCTCCTATTCCACTCTGAATTGGCTATTCTCTAAGCCTGTTGAACAACTGAGACTTTTCTTTACTGCCCCTTCAACACTTTTCTGGATTAGTCTCCCTCTTTGCTGAATTCCATATCTTCCTTGGTCGTGGTTTATTAAACCTTTATTTTGCTGGGGTACAACTTCAGTATCTGTAGGTAGAAGGTAAATTTATTAAGACCTTAATTTACTCTCTATTGATAGTTTGGATGGGTATAAAAATCTAGTTTTTAAATATGTTTTCCTCATAATTTTGAAGGCACTGTTCCAATGAGTTCTAGCATCCAGTAATGCTATTCAAGATTTGAAGCCATTCTTTTTTCTGGCCCTTTATTTTGAATGTTATTGTTTTTCACTTTGAAATTTTTTAGAATCTTTTAGTTGTCCATAATGTTCTCCAATTTCACAGTGATGCTCTTTGGGGTGACTATTTTCCTTATTTGTTGTACTCTGTACCTAATGGGATTTCAATGTTGAGTTTCATGTCCTAGAAAGTTTCCTTCAGTTCTGGGCAGTTTTTCATCACTCCATCTTTATATTTTATATGACCCCTTTTTCTGCAATTCCTTTTACTAGAATGTTGAATCTCTTGACCTGATTCTCTAATTTTCTTACCACTTTTAAATTCTTTCTGGGAGATTTATCTTTAAGCCTTCCTCCTTCATTCTTATTTCAACTCTTTAATTTGTTTTAATGTTAAAATGTTTTCTGATTATCTTTTTATGGCATCTTTTTTTCATGGATGCAAATTCTTCCCTTATCTTTCTGAGAATATTAATTATAATTATTTTCAAGAAATATACCTCTTTCCTCAGGATCCTCTTTTTGTTGTTATTTGCTCTTATGTTGGAGACTGTACTTAGTTGTCTGATGAACTTTAGCTGTCTATTCATAGTAAAGAGAGATACATTAAACAGTTGCTAGTAAATTTTTCTACATAGTAAGGCTTGTTGATTAGTGGACTTCATGGTAGGGGTAGGATGACAAACTAGATTTTTAATATGGTACCCCCAAATGTCACTTTTTGTGGCATTTCTCTTAGGCCATTTCATTTTTCCAGAGAATAATTTAGTGGTTTCCTGCTGGTAATATGTAAGCCTGGCTTGAAACATCCTGAAAGAGGGACAGGAAAAGGAAGTGAGCCTCCACCTCTGTCCTGTTTCCCCTGTGTCAGACTTCTTGGTCCTCTGGTCCCCTCCAGATAATAAACCTCCAGTCTGTTGCCAGGAAAAGCAGATGAGAGGAAGCAGTAATAAGAGGGTTGCTTGCCTCCCTGGGCAGGAGATACAGCTCAATGGAGGGTGTGAGGGAGGCTAATCTTTCTAAACATAAACTTTCAAACAATCTCTTTCTTTTAAACCCTTCATTCTCTATAGTACCTTCTACCTCCACCTACTAAACCTTTTCAGAGGCCAACAGGTCCAAAAGACTCACTTATTATTAGCTTCTACCTCTCCAGAAACCCAGGTGCTAGCTTTCTCTCTCTGCTAAATCACTTCCATGCAGTTTTAATCACTTTCTATTTTCCAAAAAGTTGTTGAAATCTCTCCACTACTGTTAACCTCTCTCTTTGTTTCTTGGTTCTTATAGGTTTGTACCTTTTCACTTTTCTTTATTTTTAGTATATTGGCATTTTGCCATTGTTTTGCTATGTTTAACCAGAAGAATTATTATTAAAGAATATAAGTTTTGCACTTTAAAGAATTGATTATATGCACCCAATTACTTCACTTAAAAACTTTAACTCTTTCATACATTTTTGGGAAGTGTGATTCTTCTAAACAAATATTTAAACTACATCTTTTGCTACATATTTAAAATCATTATATTTCTTATAAAGTCATATAATGGCATTACTTATCAACTATCAAAGACATATATACTGTTCGAATTGGTTTCCAGAAATGGTTTAGCCTGGCCTAAGTCTTCCACATCTTCTTACCTAGTCTGAGGGTAAGCATCAGCATTCATAAGACAGCTAAGTTTAGGAATTTTCAATACTAGGGATTTATATTTCCTCATAAAGCCATCTCACCACTCTGGAAATTGACCCAATAAACTTGGCTTCTTTGTTTGTACCCTACCTCAACCAGCTAAGGTGACTGCTCCCAGAAAACAAATATACTGCATCTTCTTTAGAATGATCTAAGAATTTGAACCTAACATGTAAAACTGCTTCTGTATCTTGACTAAAGCAATTCATAAAACATGTTTCTTTTTTCCAATGCATGATTCAGACTTACATTTTTTTTCAGAGTCTATATGCTTATAACTGAGCTCATTTCCAGATTTGTGTCATGTTGAGCTAATTGGCTTTGTAAACCTAGCATAAATACAACCCAGCACATTGAATATATTCTTAAAGAGCACCCTCATTTGCTAAATAAGAAAATGGAACAGGTTTCTACATCTGCTTCCCCAAAACCTTGATACTTGTGACAAGATACTGCAGAATGCCTTAAGGGATCTGCTAATCATATCTGGGCCTTTGCCTTAGGAGCTGGAGCTGAATCTTGGCCTGGTGTGTAATTGCACTCTTATGACCATCTGGCAGCTTCTGTGACACATTAGTGGCCTTGGCCCAGTTTCTAATTGGCATGTATCTGCATCCACAAGACAGCTTAACTTTCTAAATAAGAGAGGTCATAATATCTTTTTTATTCTTTAGCTATGATGCAATTGTTCTTTGTAGGTTTTTTGTTTTAACTGAGAAGAAGCTAAAATTTCAAGATTCCATGTTACTTTAATCTTGAGCCCTTTGTATCTACTTCTCTACTAACTGAAACAGTGTCTAGAAACTGCTGGTCCTGGCTCCGTGTCTTGAAGAAATTATGTAGCATTATATCTTTCTCTCTCTCTCTCTCTCTCTCTCTCTCTCTCTCTCTCTCTCTCTCTCTCTCTCTGGCTTCAGGCCATAGGCATTCTTAATCTGCAGACTGTCTGTAAACTGTAATAGAGAGCTTCATCTGTAATCATTTTAAACAGAGCCAGTGGAGACAAGATTGCTTTAGTTAGTAGCTTACTAGTTTAAATTGAGTACGCTCTAGTTGGAATGGAAACTTAATCAAGGAAAAACTCCGAGTAAGTTTTCACTTACATTTTATATCTTACTTGGTAACTTTTTTGAAAATGTTGCATAAAAGACCCAGCACAGGAAACATTTTATATTTGTGCTTATGATTAATAAATATGGAATCTGAGGCATTCTATTTTATAAATCAAAGACATAGTCCAAATTTCCTGTTTTTCTACATTTAAAAAAAAAGGCAGGGTAAAAATAGCACTAAACTCTATAGGGTATTCAGGGGTCAAGGCAACAGGCAAAATCAGTTACTCAAGATGCCTGATGCCAAGACTTCTCAGTCCATCAACAGAAACATTCATTTAGTAGTCACTATAGATAGGTGAGATGTTTGTTCCAGGTATTATAAAAATATAAGTAAATATATCCTATTTCAGATTTTCTACGCTTATTGAGAAAAGGAGGGTGTAACAAAATAGTAAAGTAATAAACTAGTGATTTGGAAACACAGGTTCACCCATTGCTAGTTCATGGAAAACACAAGTCTCACCCGTCAGACATTCTTATTACATCTACATTTTCATCACATCTATTTCTGCCTGTATTTTACAAACCTGGCTACTGTCTTTAATCTTTAAGATCCTGCACCACCTCCTCAAGCACACATGTGCACTCACATATTCTGACCTTTGCTCAAAGATTTTCCAGTCTGCCTAATAGCCTACAGTGGGTCTTCCTGCATCTGTCTATCTGTGGAATATTACCAAGATGCTCTGAAGAATATATTTATGGCTGTAGGTTCTTTGGGATTGGTACCATTAGTTGATGCTTCATCATGCTAAGAGGAAAGTTTTCTCATTTGTATTTTTTATAGCCTACGGAATGTTTCTTGGTACAACCAAAGGAAACAAAGGAAGATGCCACCAAGACCAGGAAGAGGAGAAAGGTAATATTAATTCCTTACAATGGTGTGGCCCTACGTGGGTTACATCACCTTTTTGTATAGTGTGCTTTGATGAGGCAATTATTATCATCGCATCTTTAGAGATGCACAAATTGTAAGATTCAGTGGGGTTTGGTGACTTCCTTAGGTCACTTGTAATAAGTGTTTCTGTTGGAGCTAAAAATAAATCCTCCTGATTTCTATTTCAGTTTTGTGAAACACTAAACATCTTTCTTACCCACCCTGTGTTTTCACTGTGGTTAGAAGTCAGACATGGGTTTCTAATTCTAGAAGGGGCCCAGAGCTCTCCTGCCCTATGCCCCCTCCAGCTCTGTCCAACGAAAGAAGTTTACCAATCTTTTTTTCTTACCCATCTCAATTTTTAAAACCTTTAATCATAGAGAATTAATGAAAAGAAAATAAACAGATGAAGGTAGCAGTATAAGGCATTTCTACCTCTCATTTGGAACCATAATTTAAAGCAAAAGGCACCCCTTGCATTTTAATACTTGCCTGTGAGCATATGGAAGACTCTTGCTCCTATACAAACTTTCTTATGGCTCAGACTTGGAGAAAGTGTGGTTAGCTTTGACCTTCCACCACAGTTGTGAAAACAGGAGTGTAATTCTCTCCCTGCCAAGAAGGGTCTTGCTGAAGTCAGCAGAGGAAATATGATTGGGATTAGAGGAGAGAAGATGGACTCAAACCAATTACTTAACAGCAAGCTTTTAGAAAACTGTAGTGTGTGTGTGCATATGTTTTCTTTGCTTGCAAATGGCCAAATAGGAAGACAGGAGATGCCAAATTGGCTGAGGTCTGGCAAGTCCTTAAAGAAGTAACGTTAACTTCTCTTTGATAGTTTGTGTACTAATGGCCTTCAGGAGTGTTAAGTTCTTGGGGGCTCAAGGTCAGAACTCTGGCTAGGTAGTTTAGCCTTGGCTGAGGTCATGCTAAAATGTGCCCACCGATGACATCTTTTTAAAGTTAATTCACTTGACAGAACTTTGACCATTCTCGGCAGTGGTATAGAAATGAGGACATTGTGGAAGGAGGGGAAAAACCTGGGGGCTGGGAGGTTGTGAGGAACAGTTCTTTCTAGATCTTTGGTGAAACATTAGAAGGAAATGAGAAGGGAAGTTTATGATGAAAATTAAAGGAATGATTGTGTGTTCCTAGTACATTGCAGGCATTCGGTAAATGCTACACAAATAGGTCCAAATCAAAATAGGTGTTGTAGTATTTCCT